TACCTCGAATTGATTACAAATAAAGATGAAGATGTAATTACCTCGAATTGATTACAAATAAAGATAAAGATGTAATTACCTCGAATTGATTACAAATAAAGATAAAGTTGTAATTACCTCGAATTGATTACAAAAGTCTGTGAAGAACTCCATCCAGAACTCCCCGTCATTCATGTAGTGTAAACCCATCTCATGCTTCTTCTCCTCCTCAACCTTAGACCATAGCTCATCCCCATCCGACCAGGCACCTGGGCAATAACATTTTTAATAAAAGGGACGTTACTGGCGTAATTTCAAGCGAACTTTCACGCCCGATTTGCAATGGTGGCCCTTTAAGTCTTCAACTGAGTAAAATTTAGATCGTTACAGTTTTTCTATCCCACAAAGAATTAAATTCTGTCAATTTACTTCTTTTCGCCTGCATGCAGTAATCTTCTAGTCACTTAAGTCGAGAGATTAAAATATTAAATTATCAACTTATCAACTTATAACTTCATAACTCTTGCCTTTACAAGGTTTCAAGGATATTATTTTGAGTTTCCTACGGAGTTTTTTTTGCATCTCTTATAATCATTCGTTTTTAACGTTTACGTTTATCCAGCTACTCCGATTTTATCTTCAAAATCAGTTTTATTAAAAGACGAAACTATAGAATTAGCTTTTTTCTTCAGATGGGTTTTAATACTTCCGAAAAAAATCTGAGTTTTTTTTTCAAGATAAATCAATATGGTGGGCGGGGGCACGTCCAAGCTTTCACTGTAAATACGTTTTTCGCTTTCTATTTTTTTAACAAACATGTTTTTTTCTCTCTCTTATCTATTTTTACAATTCCGGGAAAGAAGAATATAGAGAGAATATTTTTAATCAACTCATCAACTAAAGTATAAATATAACACAAATTTTAAAATCTTGCTCTCTTACACATGTTACTCTGCCCTGAACATGTCTATTCAGCCTTGAACATGTCTATTCTGCCTAGAAAATGTCTATTCTGTCTTGAACTTGTCTATTCTCCCTTAAACATGTCTATTCTACCTTAAACATGTTTATTCTGCCTTGAACATGTCTATTCTGTCTTGAACTTGTCTATTCTCCCTTAAACATGTCTATTCTACCTTAAGCATGTTTATTCTGCCTTGAACATGTCTATTCTGCCTTGAACATGTCTATTCTGCCTTGAACATGTCTCTTCTGCCTTGAACATGTCTATTCTGCCTTGAACATGTCTTTTCTGCCTTGAACATGTCTTTTCTGCCTTGAACATGTCTTTTCTGCCTTGAACATGTCTTTTCTGCCTTGAACATGTCTATTCTGCCTTAAACATGTCTATTCTGCTTGTCCCTGTCTATTCTGCCTTAAACATGTCTTTTCTGCCTTGTCCCTGTCTATTCTACCTTGAACGTTTATTTCACTTTAAACATGTCTATACTGCCTCGAGCATGTCTATTTCTTCTGTAATATGACTAATTCTTCCTTAACCTGTCTATTCCTTCCTTAACCTGTCTATTCCTTCTTTAACCTGTATCTTCCTTCTATAACCTGTCTATTCCCTCTTCAACCTGTCTCTTCCTTCTTTAACTGTCTATTCCTTCTTATACCTATCTATTCCTTCTTCAACCTGTCTATTCCTTCTTTTACCTGTCTATTCCTTCTTCAACCTGTCCATTCCTTCTTTAACCTGTCTATTCCCTTTTCAACCTGTCTATTTCTTCTTCAACATGTCTATTCCTTCTTCAACTGTCTATTCCTTCTTTTACCTGTCTATTCCTTCTTCAACCTGTTCATTCCTTCTTTAACCTGTCTATTCCTTCTTCAACCTGTCTATTCCTTTTTTTTACCTGTCTATTCCTTTTTTTACCTGTTTATTCCTTCTTTAACCTGTCCATTCCTTCTTTAACCTGTCCATTTCTTCTTCAACCTGTCTATTCCTTCTTCAACCTGTCTAAACCTGTCTACTCCCTGTCTATTCCTTCTTCAACCTCTCTTCCTTCTCTAACCTATCTATGAACCTGTCTCTTCCTTCTTTGATAAGACATTTTGAGAAGTGCTGAGATTGTTAATGTTATTAAAAACTTTCTATATTCAACACCTTCCAGTTTGTAAACCTTTGTATTTCTTAAACTTTTTTCTCTTCATTGAAATCCCTCTTTAATTAGGTGTTATGGTCGATTGCATGTTTTCCTCTCCTACAACTTTTCTAATAATATTTTTAATAAAATGTTTAGTCAAGCTGATTCCTAGAATTATATTATGCATTTACTCAATGTGTACTTTTTCTCCATACAATACCGTAAGAACTTTGCTCTTTAAAGTTGTTGTTAGTTTACTGGTCAAAACATAAATTTTTTAAATTTCCACATTGACATTTTTTAGTCGCAGCTTTTCAAAAAATAATTAAGTATAAACAGGTCATGAATCCTTCTCAATTGTTCTAAGCTGTCAGAGTAACACCGATTAAATAATTAAAAATACTTAAATTCAGGGTACGCTAGTTCCAAACAGTGCTTATGTCAGGTTTGGGCACAAATATTATAATCAAAGTTTTAGAAACTCTTAAAGATACAATTTCCAAAATATTATTAGGCACGACGAGAACAAATAACAGTGTCTACCTCTGTTCTACAATAAAAACTGTGAGTGATCTCTCATTTTCAATTAAAACCCAAACCATTTTCAAACAATTAAAATATTGAGCGCGTTGTGGAACATGAACCAATTTTTGAAACAATCCAAAATTTGAAAATATTTAACATTCAGAACAAAACGCATTTTCATAATTTACAGATAAGCATGAGTCACTAAAAGTATTTTATCTTCTAAATTATTCTAAAATTTGTTTGCATATTATACTTTTAACTACAGTACAGATGATTTCAAGTTTCCTTTATTTCAAAAATAAATTTTCGCATTTTTTTGTGTTCTAAAGAACAATTTAATATTAATATTAGAATTTTTCAATGCTTTAAGTCGTTATATTTTGAAATATTAGAACAGAAAGTATTAAATATACATTTCTATTGTTTCATAATTTAAATTCTATGCGAAAACTTGTTTTATTACCAAATTATGTAAATATGAAAAAGTTAGTGATTCTATCTGTTAAATGTCTCAAAATCGTAACATGTTCCAAAAGGTGTTTGGCGCCCAAACTTTACATTTGCTCTAAAAACGTGACATGTTCTCAAATTTAATCAATAATCATCACAAATTAAAATTTATTCATTTGCAGGGGTTTAGTGCTTCAATTTTTGCAGTAAAAATGTAGCCCAAACCATTCTAAATTAAAGTATACTGACGGTTTTTTTACTTCTCGACTTAAATTGACTAATATAAACAATTGAAAAACTTTGCACATTTGGACCAAACCAGTGTCAGGTCTGGTCCAAATCACGGTTTGGAACCTTTCTTGCCCCTGAAATTAAAAACAGCTGCAGTTTTACACACGTCAGTCTTGTATTACTTTTTTTTATTCATTCGCCGCTGATATTGATTACAAAGATGTGCTCGTGTAAAAACAGAAATGTAATCTAAAATGAAAAATATTTCAATTTAACTTTCCTTTGTTGAGATTCTACTAAATATCTGTTTATTTATATTAACATTTATATATACATTTATTACTATAAATAATCTGTATGTTTGCTAGGATCCAAAAAAAGTTTCCCGGAAAAAATGTTGACATTTATTATTTAAAAAAAAAATTAAACAGAAAAATCCGCAAAATTTTGTATTCATGGGAGTGAGATGTTTTGAGTTTTGAATGTTTAAGTAGTATACACACTTCTAAACGTCAAAAGTTAGAACAAAAAATGTTAAAAACCAATGAAAAAAGAAAAATCGAAAACTTAAATTGTTCTTTCCGAAGAAAAATGTTTTTCAGATAAATTAACATTTAAACGCAAAATTTTGTTCACCTTTCCATTCATTTTTATCCCCCCAGGGATTCCGGATCCTAAGGAGACAGATCCGCCCTAGATCCTGGGCGTGTACTCTGTACAGTCCTGTAATTGTGTAGGCGTGTCCCTGGACTAAACCATTAGAATCAGCCTTGTGGGACATCTTCCAGTCACCTTTCCTAGAGCAGGTGATAAACGCCTGAATAATAACAAATCCTAATCAAAGGGACTGTTTGCCTTTTTCTAAATACAAAAGAACTATTTGTTGTGTTTCTGGAACACAAATCACATGTAAAGGCTGTAATCATAATTTCAAATGACCCTAGTCCAATTAACAACGATAACTTTTAAACCTTTAAAATAACGAAGTTATCACTCTTGTTATTGATTATTTGTTGTATATTACAGATAGAATCAGCCTTTAATTAAAGGACTGTACGCGAATTTTAAAAGACCCTCTATGGAAATATGACAATGTCCGATATTCAGCTGGCATTTTCTTATCAATAATGTAGAGGATATTGTCGTTTTTCTAGGCACTTAGATATTGATAACTCTGAAACTTAGTCATAAAATTTTTTAGACAGCCTCGACTGTAAAAAGTCACAACGCCTTGACCTTTGGTTCTACCTCACCAAGGGATTTACATTTTTTTGTAGGCCTAGACATATACATTTTAAAAATTCTCTTTTTGGCTTAAGCTTAAAAGAAGCAATTGGCAAAATACGGCTTGATTTTTGTAAAAGATTGTGCAAATCTTGGTTTGTAGTGTATTGGATTAAAAGTATGGTTTCCAATCGGAATTGCGTGCAACTGTTCTCGTATTGCGCGGAACGGTGCGGAATTGCACGGAATTGCACGGAATTACGAGGAAATTACAAGGACCGCAATTGCGCGCAAGTAAATAATAAAAGTGTTAAATTCTGATAATTTATTAATGTTTTCCTGCAGACCACGAAGCACAAATGTTTCTACCTGGGAGGAAAAGGATTTTCTGAGATATTTGTAGAGAGTTTTATGCTTCCTAGAATATGTTAGTGTATTAGTATTTCTAATTCAAGAGAAGTAATTTCGAGAGATTCTTTAAAAATATCATTCTTGAGTTAATTTGATTACGTTTTTTTTCAAGCCTGCACGTCATTTATTCTTTTTATTATATAAATTAATGTACGTAATATAGCTCTCTATATAAAAACCTATATTTTATATTTCAATGAATTCCTTGGATTTTAAAATCGGTTCAAATATTTTGAGAAATACGAAAACCACATATTCCACAGGTAGAGAACTGAACGTTCGTTTAACATTCGTTAATTTACTAAATGTAGAATTAGGCAAATGTCTTTAAGAAATGCTTTCATGAAATCGTCCGTTTGTAGAGTAAATATTAGTCACCTGAGGGTTATGTTTTTACCTGCTATCTTTAAGCTGCTTGTAGAGTACATTAGTCCCTGCAGGGCCATGTTCTTACCTGCTATCTTTAAGATGTTTGTAGAGTACATTAGTCCCTGGAGGGCCATGTTTTTATCTGCTATCTTTAAGCTGTGTGTAGAGTACGTTAGTCCCTGGAGGGCCATGTTCTTACCTCCTATCTTTAAGCTGTGTGTAGAGTATATATTATTCCCTGCAGGGCCATGTTCTTACCTGCTATCTTTAAGCTCGTATCTTTCTGCTAATCCTCCAGTTAGATCAACCATAGCTTCTATAGGCATTCCGCCCTCTATTGCCTTTACATTTAAACAAAATGCAACATTTTTTGTTTGTGTAGAAAAATGTTTGCTTAAACTTCAAAAAGAAATTAAAACTTGTTGATTAACTAATGCATACATTTTATCAAGTTGATATTTTCTTATATTTTGCATGATGAAAAAGCCCACAATTTTTAACATGAAACATCTCAAAATCTTTAAAAGTTAAAAACACAATTGAAGTTAAAAAAAATAAAGCAATAAAGCAAAATATTTACCTCATAACTTCCGTGAATTTTAGCATAAGCTTTCTCTACAAGTGCAACCCAGAATTCCGCAGGATCAAGACAACGTGCATAGCAGTAGGAACCATTCTTTTGCGGTATTCTACATATATACAAATATACATATATACAAATATACAAATATACAAATATACAAATATACAAATATACAAATATACAAATATACAAATATACAAATATACAAATATACAAATATACAGCGAGAATCAGAAAACATTAGAATTGATTTTGTCGTTTTTTCTCTTATTTTGGAGTGATTGTAAACGTTTAATTTCTAGTAACACTCGATAAATAGATTGACATTTCCAATTGTAAATATCCTATATATATATCCTACCGATAAAAACGTTGTTTGATCAACAGTGAATGAATTATCAATGTTTTTCTTTATGATATTTAGTTCTTTATTAATAGTGGGTTTCGCTTTATAAGTGAATTGATTGAAAAACGACGAAATTAGTTATTAATCAATCAATTTATCGAAAATGATAAAAGGACTTTGAAATTTGCTTTTGTTAACATTTACGAATTGAAAATCCTGAGCGACATTTTATTACTAAAAGGAGAATTTTTCAAATTATGTGGTTGCAAGTGCAACATAAAGTACTTTTAAAAATATTTTACATTAGTTCATTGATATATATATAGATTTGAAATTTGATAAAATGTGTCCTTTACGCAGAGTTTTTAAAACTTGGATTATTTTTTTCACATTAGTTGATTGACAAATGTATATAGATTATAGTGAGAATTTAGAATTTGATAAACTGTGCAGGCTTTTACGCAGAATTTTTAAAACTTGGATTCATTCAACAAATATGAATGTTACAATTAGACATTTTTTTTTATCTCAAAATTTGTTCTCTATACAATACGCTAGATATAACGAGAAAAAGGATTTAAATAAAAATATGGATTTTCCATTCTTTAAAATTTTACTGAAAGGCTTAACATCTTTTAATTTACATTTTAATGCCAAATATTTGTTCAAATTTAAGGTTAAAGAACCTGTAAAATCATTCGTTGGGATGTTTAGAAAGATGAAAATTTCCCTGTATGATAATTGAAGGACTGCAGTATGGAAACTGATTATTGATAGGATTATAATTTCTCATAAGAAAACGGCGAAAGTAACAACAATTTTTTAGGTTTTGATATTACATTTATGTTTAAGATTAAAAAAAAATTTATCTTTGTTTAGAAAATAAATATTTAAGCATTCTAACTTGTAATTGAGGAAAATTAAAAGAAAAGTTATTTAATCTTATCTAAGCAATGTCGCAAATTTAACTTTTTTACAAATTATATTTTATTTAATTAATGGACATTTTCATGATATCAAAATTTTGAAAAATATGGATATCTTTAAAATTTGAACAATCCATTTAAAATGACCTACCTATCGTCTATGATTACAGTTACCCAGCGACCATATCTCCAGATATTTATTCTTATCATCCCAGTATACTCAGGACCATACAGGGTCTAGATACAGAACTAAAGAGTCTAGATACAGAGATTCAGGGTCTAGATACAGTGAGACAGGGTCTAGATACAGAGATACAAGGTCTAGATTTAGAGTCTAGACACAGAGATACAGGGTCTAGATCCAGAGTCTAGATACAGAGACAGGGTTCAGATACAGAGATACATGATCTAGATACATTGGGACAGAGTCTAGATACAAAGATACAAGGTCTAGATCTAGAGTCTAGATACAGAGATACAGGATCTGAATACATAGCCTAGATACAGATATACAGGGTCTAGATACAGAGATACAGGGCCCAGATACAGAGATACATGATCAAGATACATTGGGACAGGGTCTAGATACAGAGAATTTTTTCAAAATCTTTACCCACTAAATGTTAGAAATAAGACAGATTTTATAATCTAGAGTATGTTTATTGGTTACACTCTCTCCGCATTAATCCTCCTTAGAGGAATGAAAAGGAGAATTCCATTTGAAATCTGAAACTTTGAAACTCTGGACTAACTAAAACCGAACTCAAGAAGAAGGAAAATAAAATTAAACTTTAGTTAAAAGGAATTACAGTAAATATTAATCCGTGGGTACTGGTTGCCCCTTTTTACTATGTTGTTTATCAGTGTACTGCACTGTTTACAATCTGATTAACCCAGCTCCACGCACTCAGTTAAGATCTGTTACCCAAACAATTATCAGGTATAAATCATATTCAAGTGTCCAGAGAATTGTAATGCTGTATTGTTACAAATGAATTGTTCAGATCAGAGGGGTTAGGTTTTATATTTTCTTATTATAGATGTAAATTATTCATCTAATATATTCTTTATAGAATTGGTAAATTGGCGAAACTGTTGCACAGCCTTGGGAAATTCTCGGGTTCTGTGCAAAAGCCTCTGTACAATAGAGGACTCACACATGTCCTGTACTTGTACATGCTAACCTCCTCCATCACCAACAACAGCGAGATAAACAAATACAAGTAATATTATCTTGTTGTATGAACTGTGTTAAAATAAATGTTCAATAGTGTAACATGTCATTTAATTATCATCACATAGCCAAACCAAATGCACTGATTAGTTTGGCAGATCTTACTCGTCCTTTTGTATAATAACCTCTTGGTAGTTTATACTATAATGTTACGTTATGTATCGTCATAACTTTTAACCCATAAAGACTACTCTTGGAGGGAGATGGAATCTTGAACTCAAATATCAATGATGAAAATTTTCTTGTTTTTACTTGGAGAAAGTCCTAAATAGACTTCAGCAACGGAGACGAGCAAGAAATTAAATGACATTTGTCACAATTTGAAAAAAACGACATAATAATATTAAAGCCACTTTTGTGAATCATTGATATCGCCATTTAACATTCAAGGTTGTCTTTCTATTTCTATTTATTTCGTATTATAAGTAAATGACACTGAACAAGTAGACTAATGTATGTGTAATAGTCATATTGTTACAGCATAATGATGATATTATCACACAACACAAAAGCAGGAAATATAAAAAAAGAAATATCGATTCTCTGTAATTTTAAGTAGCCCTCCGTTTCTAGGAACAGGTAGGCGTATCATGTCAATCTTACGACGGTACCCTTTAAATATTTCTTTGATCATAGGATGAGTAAACTGACTTGCGGAGTTATGCTACAGTAGTAATAACGGAGCACTTTTTAGATAGAAATACAATGAAGCTAATTTTTACTCAGATAGAAGATTGAAGGTTACCATTGCATGGAGCGAACAAGTCAATTTTTTATCTTTTCTTTCTAAATTAAGAAACATGGAAAACGTCCACAGTTTCTTTAAAACATAAAATTCCTAACATAGTTTTTTGAAGTAACACTTTATTCGAAATATTCCATCGAATCAAATTGCAGGATTTAATTTGTATTCAGAGGATATACAGGGAGAATAGGAAAGGTATGGAATATGAAGACGACAATTATATCAAAAAAATTATTTTCAATAATTCAATAAATATGTTATTGTGCAGTGTACAGAGACCCATTTCAGTTAACAAGTGATTATTAAGCTATTTGTAACACTTTTTGATTTGGAACAACAAAATACACTTTAAGATTGCTTCATGACCGTCATCCTTTTCAACAGTTTTATGGTTCATACTATATTTGAAAATTGAAGGAGATAATTGAGACAAGTTTCATAAAGGTATTCAGCGTCGTAGCTTAAAAAGTAAAAAAAAAACCATCTAAATCAACAAATTTGAAGTACAAAGTTCTGAGATAACAAGAAGCAGAAATGATTGCAGTTTTTTCTTTTTCAATATTCTTCATACAAATACCAACAATTATTTTTATTTTTCCACTCCTAGTATATTACCTGATGTGGGTCTACCACCCTATAAAGTAAATCTTCACGTTTAGCAAGAGCAGCACAAGTTGATAACAGCCAACAGTCCCCTAGTACCCCCTAAACAATAATACAAGTTTATAACAGCCAACAGTCCCCTAGTACCCCCTAAACAATAATACAGGTTAATAACAGCCAACAGGCCCCTAGTACCCCCTAAACAATAATACAGGTTAATAACAGCCAACAGGCCACTAGTACCCCCTAAACAATAATACAGGTTAATAACAGCCAACAGGCTTCTTGTACCCCCTAAACAATAATACAGGTTTATAACAGCCAACAGGCTTCTCGTACCCCCTAAACAATAATACAGGTTTATAACAGCCAACAGGCTTCTTGTACCCCCTAAACAATACAGGTTTATAACAGCCAACAGGCTTCTTGTACCCCCTAAACAATAATACAGGTAATAACAGCCAACAGGCCCCTAGTACCCCCTAAACAATAATACAGGTTTATAACAGCTAACAGGCTTCTTGTACCCCCTAAACAATACAGGTTGATAACAGTTATCAGTCCCTTAATATTTCCAAAAAATTGGGGCTAAATTTTTGACGGTCTGAAATTTTTCAGTTCTCTCCGTAGTCGTGAAATATTTACAAATTTCAAAGTCGAAATATATTGTTGTTTATAATATTTATATTATCTTAGATAACAAATTGAAAGAATGAAAACTTAAGTGATTTCAATTTGAGTTTTATTTTACTTTCTCAAATTACTTCTACCTAATAATCAGGTTTCCTCGAGAGTAAAATAGAGAAAAGCTTTAAAACCTCAAAGTAAACTTTTCTAGATATATAAACATTACATTTCAGTTCTAACCTTTTATAAATATATAAACATTCCCTTTCAGTCCTAACCTTTTATTAATATTGATTAGTTATGAAAAAATTCTGCTTAAACAATAGGAACAATTAGATTATATTGTACAATGTACAAGCACTAAGGGTTTAATAACTGCACTGCTGTACAGTTTATTCAACTTTACAGTGTATTTTACTGTACAGTTTATTCAACCTAACTTTGTATTTTACTGTACAGTTTATTCAACTTTACAGTGTATTTTACTATACAGTGTATTTTATTGTACAGTTTTTGTTCTTATGCAATTTATGCAGTTTATGCTATTCATATTGTGTAGTATAGACTAATGTAAAGTTTTTGCAATTATACAGTTCATGCTATCATACAATGTATGGTATTTTACAGTTCATCCTGCAGTACAGCTTGTTATTGTACAGTTTATACTGCTGTACAGTAAATTCTTCTGCAAAGTTTATGCTACTGTACAGCTTATGCAACTATACAGTTTATGTTACAGCACAGTTTACGCTATTGTACAGTATAAACTACTGTAAAGTATATGCTACTGTACAGTTTATGCTGCTTTACGGTTCATACAACTGCACAGTTTATGCTAGTGTACAGTACATAATACTATACAGTTTATGTTATTGTACAGTTTTTGCTACTGTTATGTTTATGCTGGTGTACAATTTATGCTATTTTACAGTTTTTGCTACTGTTCTGTTTATGCTGGTGTACAATTTATGCTATTGTACAGTTTTGCTGCTGTACGGTGAATGCTACTGTACAGTTTATGCAATTGTACAGTTGTATGAACTGTACAGTTCATGTTACTGTACAATGTATTCTGCTGTACAGTTCATGTTACTTCTGTTCAGTTTATGTTACTTTACAGTTTTTGTTACTGCACAGTTGAAACTGCTAAGCGTAGTTAATGTTTCCGTATGATTGATTCTGTACACTAGAATTTATAGTACTGTACAGTTCATGATTTCTCTGAATTTGCGCGTTATATTTTCCTTCTTTCATTTTATATTCCATTAAAGTTTTTATTTGAGTGTTTACTTCTCTTCTCAACTATTTTCATCATCCCTTTTATCTCTCTCTCTAGCTCTCTATCTACCCCTCTCTCTCTAGCAATCATCAAATTATAACTGGATTGGGACTTAAAGGACTTTTCGACGTAATAAGAGGCCCTCAGTTTAATAGTTACACGCTAGATTTACAATGGTACCACGTAAACATAGTTCTTAAACAAAAATCATGAAGGTAAAAACAGACGATATCTTACTCATTGTTACTCAGTAAAAAATGGAAAGGTATCTTTGTGAATCGTTATATAACACATTACAAAAGGGGTACTTACAGTCCTTTACAGGGACTTATACTAAGAAAGGATTGTCCGAACTATTCATGTTTTTAGCCAAAATACTTTTTTTACATTTTTTCCTAATGCATGTTTACCTGGACCACATCTCTTCAAGAGGTTCCATCCACAAATATATAATATATACCTCGGACCACATCTCTTCTAGAGGTTCCATCCACAAATATATAATATATACCTGGACCACATCTCTTCTAGAGGTTCCATCCACAAATATATAATATATACCTGGACCACATCTCTTCTAGAGGTTCCATCCACAAATATACAATATATATATACACCTGGACCACATCAGTTCTAGAGGTTCCATTCACAAATCTATATACCTGGACCACATCTCTTCTAGAGGTTCCATCCACAAATATATGAGGTTCTGGAACTAAATCTTTTGGTCTCACCTAAAGCATTTTTTACTTTTTAGTTTGGCATTTTTGATTTATCATATTTGGACGTCAAACATGGGATTTAGAAAAGGGGGGGGGGTCAATATGACCCCCCTCAAGTACCCCATCAGGGATAGGGTTTAAAATACAAATAATCCACACCGTAATCTTTTAATTTAGAACAGTGCGCCTATATTACCATTTTTAAGGTTCTGCTTCTTTTTCTGCTAACAACAAATGAGTCTTTCATCATCTTTAAGGAAAAATGAAATGAACATTTCCACTAAATCCCTGAAATCAGAAACTTACCCCCCCCCCTTTTAATAACCCTTGTTGCTAGTAAGAACACCACGTCAAGGTAATTCTAACTATTTTACAGTCATTTGGCGGGGTTATTCGGGAAATAATAATGACAATTAAACTTTAACTACTTTATTCAATGAAAATATGAATTGAACAACAAGCAATATAATTTTATTTGGAAGTTTTCAACAGTTTATACAATTACGTGTCAGATTTTTTCTATCCTAAAGTCGATTTTTTCATTTGCGGTTTCTACATTAAAGCTAATTGCAGATTTATGCTCCAGAAACAATGAAGTAATCTAACACTATTTTATAGAAAACGACAGTATCTCGCTAATTGTTAGTCAGGTAGAGATTGAAAGGGTACCGTTGTTAATCGGAAATGCAAATACGTAATACGAAAAAATGTGTATACTTTTTTTAGAAAGAAATTTAGTTTCTCAATACTGATTTTAATTGTGGATTTAATATAATTAAATTTTATAACTTGTTTATGCTTTAATTTACAAGTTTATTGGTTTCAGATAATTGTAGGGATCAGACTAGGGTGTGCCAATTCATAAAAATATTGAACTAGGGTGTGCCAATTAAAAAAAATATTGAACTAGGGTGTGCCAATTTGTAATCTAGCAGATTTCATAGGAATTCGAATCTGTGATTTTAATGAACAAATATTGTATTCGTTTACTTTTTGAGTTTTAAACATGCTAAAACTGTACTCTTACTATAAACTTACTCTGTTTGTACTTAATGCATAAAATGCAAGAACAAGGAATGTTAAGAATGGTAACATGGAATAGATTTTGTGTATGTTTTTCCGTGACGTTTCAAAACTACACAGAAACTGGTTTTGCGTAAATAAACAACAGTTAGTTTGTTAAAAATCTTTGTTATTGTTTGGATAAAACTAGGTCCTACTTCCTATAAGTCCAAATACGTCACAGGAAAATAAATACACAAACCTTAAAAGTTTAATATTAAAAAAGTACATGAATAAAACTAGTAAATTCCTAGGTTAAACTTAGAATTTATTGCCTTTGGGTTTGCTGACCTTGATTAATAATAGAGAATGTTCTACCAAACACTTGACATTAAGAAATATATCTATAAACAGGAAATCTGATACTCTGATCTACCCGCAAAGAACATGAGACTTTTAGGAGAATAAAAACGTGATTTTAAGTAATTTTACATTTATACAGACATGTTCAATTCATGATGGTACCCTTTAAAGCTTTGATTTGTCAAAAATGCATGAGATATTCATAATCTTCTGTTTGAAAGCAGATGATTTTTAATTGCGGTTTTTCTGTAAAGAGACTTACGCACGTATGTTTCAGAAATAATGAAGAAAATTGTCAAAACTAAATTGAAATTACAACGACAATCCTTTTATTTTCAATTTGAGATGAGATAACCTCTTTGAATCTGGTTCTCTGACTTGAAACAAATCTGTTTTGTCATAGAAAACTAGTTTTTATTTACAGAGAGCCAAAAATGACATACACAACTTCGTGTAGTCGTCAAACTATGATTTTGTAAACCATTAATCAAAAGTATTCTTTTTAAAAGTGGTGTGCTTTTCTAAATGTCAATTCCTTCGCTTAATATAATATTTTAGATGCTGTGAACCCATTATCATTTTTTTAATAAAACATAAATATTTTACAGTGATAACCAAAATACTCTGAAATAGGAAGACGCCTTTAAAACTCAATTTAGGACTTATGCTAGTTCAATGAACATTAGATATAGCAATTGTAGAGTGTAAAAATTCGACCCATTTCACTTAAATTGTGCTTTGCTAAGTTCCTAGTAACAATATTTGCTTTGTAACAACATTGAAACGCTTAAGTATTGCTATAATGTCGTCTGTCTATTCCATTGTGTTCTGGTTATCACTGTATAATACTACAACTACCTATAATAATAAAACTTACCCATGTGTACAGGCAAAGTTCGTCTTCATTACGAGAACTTCAATTTTAACATTTTTTTTCCAATTAATAAAATTTTTGAATGCATGGGCTAAATTAAAATTTAGATTTCAATTATAAAAGATGACATTTGTTTAGTTTCTTTTCATTATGTACCTGAGCTGAAAACTTTAGAATGATGGATATCAAGATTAATGCTTAAACTAATGGTTTTACAAATCCCAAGATTTCGATATCCAAGACAGAAGTTAGAAATTCAACCAATCAGCGTGTCATGTTAAGATGTACTCTTTAACTTTTGAAAAACCGGTTCTGATTTCTGGTGTTGATGGTTTCATATCAATTAAAAACTAAACATGTAACGTAAGTTTTGAATTAAAGTTTATTAAGACTATAACGTTCAAAATGACAATAGTCCTCAAATATGTTTTTTTAATAATTTCATATTAACATGATTGTAATTGTAATTGTTATCATACGTAACTTTTATGCAGTAGAAATATCCAAAAAGAGGATTATAAGAAAAAATCAAAAGTGTGTACATCGTGATTAAGAATATCTCATTCTAAAGTTTTCAGCTCTGCTCTGATTATTAAAATTTGAAATTTGAAATGTTGACCCACCATTTAAAAAGGGAATTGCCCGATTCACAACAGTTTAGTACCCTTCAAATGATAAAGATATTTTTTAAATTAATAGTGTTTTATAGTGGTTTCTGTGATTTGCAGATTTCTACATCAAGAGTGACAATGAAGGAAATTATCAGAATTCCACAATTTACCAGATAGAAAAACGACGTTATATTTTTCATTGTTACTCATGGATAAAGGTGTAATGGGTACCGTTGTGAATTGGGCATGCAAATATTTCAAGGGACTTTAAGTTTAATTTCAAGAAGCGCTGGGCGTCGTTCCTGGGGAATTATCAAGAACGATCCCATCGTTCTTAAAAAATAACGAACACATAGAACGTGTCCTACAGATATTGGAGTATTAAAAAACAAGCGTGGAACGAACGGAAATTGTTGCATTTAAGTATACATCCTATAAAAAAAAATACTTAAAAATCTCACTTTTGCACTTGACTAAAAAGGTATCATAATAAGCGTTAATTAATACTGCCTTCAGTGTAAATATAGATTTGATATAATCATTCATTTAATCAATCCTATTAAATTAAAGATATTTTTAAAGAATCGTTTCCATCATATTTTTGACCCATTGAAGCTTACACCACAGATATTAAGAGGGAGTATCTGATGAGAAAATTATATAAATAATTTATTAACACTTGGGATGGTACCGTATCGACTAAGAAGACCGAGAACGTAACGGAAAAAGAACGAACGAGGACGGAACGATCTAGCTGAAGGCCCTCGTTCTAGAACGGAACGGAACGATATCAAAAAAGTGGCCAGCCCTAAATTTTCAAGTAATACCTCCATGCAAAGATGGCAATACCCTATTAACAACGGTACCCTTGAAACTGTAGTAGAGAAACCACAATTTAATATAATCAGTTTTTAAAATTATAAACATTGATACTTAATTCATAAATGATCAGACAAAGGTTTTTCAGGTCCCGTTGTAAAGACCAGTTAATTTTTATGATTTGAAATGAAGGGTTCTTGAAAATACGTCTACAGTCCCTTTCATGAAAAGAAAAAAAATTTGATGAAAATGCTATTTCCCTGAAGTATAAAGAGGAGGGTTCTGCTGGAAAATTAGGGTCTTCAAACGGATGATCAGGACCGAATCCCTAAAAGTATTTTATTTTTATTTCTTTAGTTAGTGAATTTACATGTTTTCAAATACCTTTCTTATTCAAGAACTATTGAGAAGATCAACATTTTTTTATTTTCATTTAAAAGTACAACATCCTCTACAAACCTCAGCTACTTCTGGAGCTAATAGGCTAAACCTTAGCTACTCCTGGAGCTAATAAGCTAAACCTTAGCTACTCCTGGAGTTAATAACCCAACCCTCAGCTACTCCTGGAGCTAATAAGCTAAACCTCAGCTACTCCTGCAAGCTAATAAGCTAAACCTCAACTACTCCTGGAGCTAATAAGCTAAACCTTAGCTACTCCTGGAGCTAATAAGCTAAACCATAGCTATGCCTGAGTTTTATTTTATTTTACGTAAATTTCAGTGTTTGCGAAAATAAATAAATAGCTATAAATATGCGGGAACAGTTCCATATAATCATTTAATTAAAAAACTAAATATTTGCAACATTCCATTATCAGAAAGTGAAGAATATGACATTTGATGAATTCATTATTAAGGGTTTCACTGTAGTATGTTTATAAGGTACACAAGAATTTTATGATGACTGTAATGATGATAATAACTGTAAAATTGATTTTCATATTTCCTGCTGCATGATAGTTTTCTTTTCTTTTTCTTGGAAATGCATAATAATGGAAATAATGGATAATACGTTTATTTACATAAATAAATGTCATCAAAAGATATTGTAGAATAATAACATACAAAAATTATCAAATTTTGTCTTCGTTCTATATGTAAAAACCTTGTCCAAAAGTTTTAAGCCTTTGTTCCATTTTTGAATTGAACTGTGCAAAGAGTGATTATAAAGTTTGTTTGTATTCTCGTTGAGTTGGTAAAATCAATGATTTTTGGGTGAAAAATATCAGGAGCAGGGAAATATTTACCAGCCAATCTCTTAATTAATTTCATTCCCGAATATTTAAAATTCACATCACTCATTTTTCACCTGTATTTCTTCTGTACCAAGGACTCCGAGCATACCATGTCCAGGTCCCTCCTCCTCTAGATCATTCTCCCCTTCCTCTCCAGTTTTCAACCTTTCCTCAGCCTCATCCTTCACTTCCACCCTAGATATTAATATTCTAGATCCTTCCTCTCCAGTCTTCAACCTTTCCTCAGCCTCATCCCTCACCTCCCCCCTAGATATTAATATTCTAGATCCTTCCTCCAGTCTTCAACCTTTCATCAGCCTCATCCCACACCTCCCCCAAGATATTAATATTCTAGCTACTTTCCAAAATATATTTTCAAAATCCAATTTTCACAAATAATTTCCAATCTTATTTTCCAAATGAAACTAAATGTTTACCTGTTCTATCAGGCATTTATTTGTCTACATGTCTTTAACATGTTTACCTGTTCCATCAGCCATTTATTTGTCTACCTTGTCTACCGTAGCATGTTTACTTGTGCTGCCAGCCATTTATTTGTCTACCTTGTCTACCGTAACATGTTTACCTGTGCTGCCAGCCATTTATTTGTCTACCTTGTCTACTGTAACATGTTTACCTGTTCTATCAGCCATATCTTTGTCTACCTAGTCTATCGTAACATGTTTACCTGTTCTATCAGCAATATCTTTGTCTACCTAGTCTACCGTAACATGTGTACCTAGTCTACCAGCCATATATTTGTCTACCTAGTCTACCGTAAACTATTTACCTGTTCCATCAGCCATATATTTGTCTACATAGTCTACCGTAACATGTTTACCTGGTCTTCCAGCCATATCGGCCTGTTCTACGGTAACATGTTTACCTGAACTACATGTCAATCTAGTCTACCGTAACATATTTACCTGTTCTGCCAGCCATATTCTTGTCTACCTAGTCTATCGTAGCATGTTTACCTGGTCTACCAGTCATATCTTTGTCTATCTATTCTACAGTAACAAATTTACCTGGTCTACCAGCCACATTATTGTCTTTCTAGTCTACCGTAAGATGTTTACCTGGTCTGCCAGCCATATTTTTGCCTACCTAGTCTACCGTAGCATGTTTACCTGGTCTACCAGTCATTTATTTGTCTACCTAGTCTACCGCAATATTTTAATCTGGTCTATTAGCCATATCATTGTCAACCTAGTCTACCGTAACATATTTACCTTGTCTACCAGTCATATCCTTGTCTTCCTAGTGTACAGTAGCATGTTTACCTGGAAGGTCAACCAGACATATTTTTGTCTTCCAAGTCTACAATGTTTACCTGGCAGGTCTACCAACCATATTCTTGTCTACCAAGTCTACCATGTTTATCTGGCAGGTCTACCAACCATATTCTTGTCTACCAAGTCTACGATGTATACATGGCAGGTCTACCAACCATATTCTTGTCTACCAAGTATACAATGTTTACCTGGCAGATCTACCAAACATATTTTTGTCTACCAAGTATAAAATGTTTACCTAGCAGGTCTACCAACCATATTGTTGTCTACCAAGTCTACCATGTTTACCTGGCAGGTCTACTGCAGCCATAGTCTTGTCTACTAAGTCTACAATCTTTACCTCGTAGGTTTAGCAACCATTGTCTTGTCTACTAAGTATACAATGTTTACCTGACAGGTCTACCAACCATATCCTTGTCTACCAAGTATACCATGTGAACCTGGCAGGTCTACTGCAGCCATATTCTTGTCTACCAAGTCTACAATGTTTACCTGGCAGGTCTACTAGCCATCTTCTTGTTTACCAAGTCTACCATGTTTACCTGGCAGGTCTACCAGCCCCATCCTCGTCAACCTGACTGGAAGTTGGACTCAGACGGATCTGAACTTGGCACTGAAACCAAATTATAATATCAATAAAACAGTCTAGACATCCATAGTTGATATTATCTAAACATATAACTAAAAACTACGGTACATTTAAACTACTGGATTGACTTGAATTGTCCTTTTTTTCTAGCTTGAAAAGTGTTTAGTTCTGACAATTTACCCCTTTGTTTCGGATGTAAGAAATCCGCAAGTCTTACAAAGAACTCACAAGTTGACTTAAGCCGTTTTTCAAAGAGTAATAATAGATATCTCATTCATGTTTATACAGGTTCAAATAGCTAAATAATGATACCGTTTTAACGTACATGCCCCTCTTTAAATAAAGCTGTACATAAAATTACGCCTACAATCCCTTTAAATAGAACTGTACATGAAATTACGTCTACAATCCTTTTAAATAGAACTGTTCATGAAATTACGTCTTCAATCTCTTTAAATAGAACTGTACATGAAATTACGTCTACAATCCCTTTAAATAGAACTGTACATGAAATTACGTCTACAATCCCTTTAAATTAACTTTAAAATATCTCCTTGATAAATTTTGTTGTCACCAATATTAGAAAATAGATCAGATTCTAGAAATAAATGTTCTAAAAGATTTATTTAAAACGTGAAAAGTTTTGTAACATTTTCTTTTCCATTTCAAATATTTGAACAGCTTCTTCTATAAATATAGCGTGTTACCTACAAAGGATAAGATGGTAAAGCCCAAACAATATGACGATTCCAAGGCTAAATTAAGTGTTCTGATTTAAATATAGCCTTTAAACTGCTTATTCAATGCTTTTGCAAAGAAAAAATAAGTTTACAGTTGCAGGGAATCAAAGAATTATAATGTAAAGATAGTTATTTCAGAAGTGTATGCATTTTTTGTACTGCAGTGTACTGTCTCTTGGCTGTAAAGTAAACACAAGACGGATGTCACAGCCTGACATGGGATCCATTTTCACATCAAAATTCAATGAAATATTCTGATCGTAGGAAACTATTATGTGAATCATGAAAATTTTCAAAATTAAATGCTTTTATCCTCCTCGTATACTAGATAAACACTGATGTATCTATTCTTGTACGCAGAGAATCCGCAACAGCAATTAATTGCCATGCTTTATTCCCTTGCATGGAATCAAGACTATATGGAAACAGATAATTTAAATTTTGTACAATTAATCGTCTGAGTAGACTCATTGTTTGTCGGTAACTCTGTATATATATGGATTGTCTATCTGCATGTTTATTGATTGTGACAATTCATCAGTATAAACAAAAAAATCTTCAAAAATATTTAATTTTAGAAAGCACGCGAAAAAGGAAATAAGTGTTTGAAAAAATAACTCTTATTATATAATCCCTATTTCTTTGCAACCCAATGTCTTAACTATGAATTCTGTTAGATTCAAAATTCTAAGTTTGAAATATCAAAGGTTTACACCATCAAGTTCTAGGGTTTAGAAATAGAGTTTGTGGCAAAAACTTACTTCCTTTGGATTTTAAGCTAAAATTAACAAATACAGAGAGGCAGAGAGCGCACTGGAAATCTAGTATGTATGCAACTTTAATGATATTTAAATTTTTTACTCATATATATAAAAATGTCAGCTATAGCTTGCCAAACGGCTGGACCTATCTTGTAGACATGTTTTGAGGGAACCCATGGGCGGTAACATAGGTTAAATCAAATTTGAATTATTTTTCCTAAAAAAGTTTTTTCTTCAAAATTCGATATTTATTTTAATTTCACGGGCAATGCCGGGCACTTCAGCTAACCTTAGGATCTGGTAAGAAGTTAGAATCCTTTACACTGTTATTATTCTCAGGTTCAGGAGTAGATGTACTGCTAGATCTAGACAAAATACAAGGATAGTTCAGGAGTAGAGGTACTGCTACATCTAGACAAAATATAAGGATAGTTCAAGAGTAGATGCACTGCTACACTTAGACAAAATACAAGGATAGTTCAGGAGTAGATGTACTGCTACACCTAGACAAAATACAAGGATTGTTCAGGAGTAGATGTACTGCTACACTTAGACAAAATGCTAGGATAGTTCAAGAGTAGATATACTGCTACACTTAGACAAAATGCAAGGATAGTTCAAGAGTAGATGTACTGCTAGATCTAGACAAAATACAAGGATAGTTCAGGAGTAGATGTATTGTTACACCTAGACAAAATACAAGGATAGTTCAGGAGTAGATGTACTGCTTGATCTAGACAAAATACAAGGATAGTTCAAGAGTAGATGTACTGCTAGATCTAAACAAAATACAAGGATAGTTCAAGAGTTGATGTACTGCTAGATCTAGACAAAATACAAGGATAGTTCAGGAGTAGATGTACTGCTCGATCTAGACAAAATACAAGGATAGTTCAGGAGTAGATGTACTGCTCGATCTAGACAAAATACAACGATAGTTCAGGAGTAGTTGTACTGCTACACCTAGACAAAATACAAGGATAGTTCAGGAGTAGANGATCAAGACTAGGACTAGATCAAGACTAGGACTAGATCAAGACTAGGACTAGATCAAGACTAGGACTAGATCAAGACTAGGACTAGATCAAGACTAGGACTAGATCAAGACTAGGACTAGATCAAGACTAGGACTAGATCAAGACTAGGACTAGATCAAGACTAGGACTAGATCAAGACTAGGACTAGATCAAGACTAGGACTAGATCAAGACTAGGACTAGATCAAGACTAGGACTAGATCAAGACTAGGACTAGATCAAGACTAGGACTAGATCAAGACTAGGACTAGATCAAGGCTAGGGCTAGATCAATATTAGGACGAGATCAAGACTAGGACTAGATCAAGATTAGGACTAGATTAAGGCTAGAACAAGACTAGTAAGGAGTTAAAATATACGACAAGATCAATACTAGGACACCAACGGAATACAAGGACAAGATCTAGGCAAGAAAAGCAACGATCTATGCTAGAAAAGTAATGATTTAGGCAAGAAAAGCAATGATCTAGGCTAGAAAAGTAATGATTAAGGCAAGAAAAGCAATGATCTAAACAATAAAAGCAATAATACAGGCTAGAAAAGTAATAATTAAGGCTAGAAAAGCAATGCTTTACGATTGAAAAACAATAATCTAGACAACAACAAAAAATGTCCTAGGCTCTAAGAGCTCTATACGCAATGACCTAGGCTATAAAAGCAATGATCTAGGCTAGAAAAACAAAAATCTAGACAAAAAAGAAATGATCTAGGATAAAAATAAAAAGCAACGATCCAGACTAGAAAAGCAATGATTTAGACTGTAAATTCAATGATCTAGGCAGGAATAACAATGAAAATGACAAGATAAAATAAAAAACCTGTCTGTGCTTGGAGTACACCCCATTCTTCTCTTTCAGTAATTACTACAATCTTATCATATCAATCTGTAACAATCATGTACCATACAGTAAATTGAAAGTTTATTAAGTACATTCAGTGCATACTCACTTGGTGTATGTATCACATTAAGTACTATACATACAGTACATAACATTTCCCTCATGCTACAGGGTGTCCCACGTCATATTCGATCGTCAATCGGTCTGAATTACGATTTTCGGGACTAATCAGAAAATTTCAGAAGAATGAATCATTTCGAAAAATTAAATAAAATATGATATGGGACGTTCTGTACATGTTTTTTACAGTGAAATACCATCCATTTATCAAGGGGAGGAAGGGCAACCACAACAATTTCTAGTCCGAGCGACATTCTCCTCATTTTCTCGTCCGAGCCACCTCGAAATCCTCGTCCTTCCAATACATTTTTTTAAGTGTCTAATCCTCCAAGATAAAACTATTTTCTGAGAATCGCGGGCCACAAAAGGGCATAAATGAAATATTGCATATTTTTAAATCGAAAAAAATAGTTTCAATCGAATTTAAGTTTTCGAGTTTTATTTCCTTACTTTTTTACTTTTTTACGCACTTTTCAGATATTCCTGGTGTAGAAAAATAATTCCGAGTTTATAAAACTTTAATCTTTTTTGTTAATTATAGTGAAAACCATAGAATTTTAACGGGTGGTTACATGGGTAAATGACAGGCAGAAGTATGCCAAATATTTTGCTATCTATTTTATATCGCCAAGGTTAGCCATTACAGATACAGCAGAAAATTAAATATTACCTTTTAAATAAAGTTAGACATAACTCTCATGGCTTTAAATAAAGTTAGACATAACTCTCATGGCTTTAAATAAAGTTAGACATAATTCTCATGGCTTTAAAGATTTAACATGATTAAATCATTCCGATACTTTAGTCCATCCATGTTTTATGCCCTGACGAAGTCAGATTTTTAAAAAATAGTTCAATCTTCAAGAATTAATAATAAACGAAAGCCGAGGATTTCGAGGTGGCTCGGACGAGAAATGAGGAGAACGTGGCTCGAACGAGAAATTGTTGTGGTTAGCCTTCCTCCCCTCAATTGTCATTGAATATAAATGCTTTATCCAGTGTTGTATAATAGGATTTTTGTATAATAGAGGAAGAGTAATGGTAAATGTATGTCTATGGAAGTTAAGGTATAAGGCATGTATATGTATACTAGAGGAAGGGTATTTGTATACTAGAGGAATGGTATATGTATACTAGAGGAAGGGTATATGTATACTAGAGGAAGGGTATATGCATACTAGAGGAAGGGTATATGTATACTAGAGGAAGGGTATACGTACACTAGAGGAAGGGTATATGTATACTAGAGGAAGCGTATATGTATACTAGAGGAAGAGTATTTGTATACTAGAGGAAGCGTATATGTATACTAGAGGAAGGGTATATGTATACTAGAGGAAGGGTATATGTATACTAGAGGAAGGGTATATGCATACTAGAGGAAGGGTATATGTATACTAGAGGAAGGGTATACGTATACTACAGGAAGGGTATATGTATACTAGAGGAAGAGTATATGTATACTAGAGGAAGCGTATATGTATACTAGAGGAATGGTATATGTATACTACTAGTATATGGATCACTATAGATACGGAGGTCCCGGTTGAGCTCTCTACCATCCTATCCTCGACTCTAATATAAGTACAATAAATACCAATCTTTGCTAATTAATTTCTTTGCTGTCGAGCTCTAGAGTCTAGACCATCAATTACAAAATTATTTTTGAATCAAAAATCTCGGTAAAAGAACATTTAAAAAAGTTGTTGTGCTTTTATAGTTCCTTTCATCATAAATTTGACATTTAAAATTGTTATACTTCTTTAGTTTGTTTTCTCATATTTTTAAATTTTAATGTATCTACCGTTTAAAAAGAAAGGTATTTGTTTTATACTTCTACAATAAAATTTAGAAAGAGAAAAGAAAAAATTAAAAAGAGGTATGTGTCTCATAAATTCTCAGATATATGAACAAATATTATATATTATGTAAATTTTTTTTATAAAGCTTACATGTGATTGTGTTCTTATCTATGTTGGGGTGTATGTCACATCATCATGATTTAATTAATGTTTTTTTTTAATTTGCGATGTTATTGTTAGATATATACCCTCGAATAATTAATTTCCCCAGAACTAAAATTTTTTAAGTTTTAAGAGAGCATTGTCAAAAAGAATAGAATATATATTAGAGTGGAATTTACTATAAAAATGTGTAAAACGGCCATTTTGTTGTACTGTTTCCATACTGCAGGTGTACTTCACATATTTATTCTATATAACCTTTTGGGCCCTGGAATATCATTTTATAGAAAATCTAAAATTAATGTTAAAAGAAAACCAAATTATGAAATAGGCTGGTTTTATAATTAACTAATGATCATTTCACATAGACTCTATGCCTTTCACTTTACAAACGATGATTTTCCGTTATAACTATAAATCAAATGATTTATTCACCTAATTCATTATAAAGTTTATTTAACAGCTTTAAAAATTTCGAAATTGAAATGAATAGTCTAGGGAACATACTGTATTAATGTATTCTACTGCATATAATTTGTGAACATTAACATGATTTGTACACTTTGAACTCCCTTTCAGGCTGAAAGGGACTGAAAAAAATCATACCGAGAGATTCTTTAAATTCCTCTCTAATATATATTCTATTCTCTATGAGCATAGTTGAACGAAACTCCCGAGTTTTCTTTTTTGGGGTTTGTACATTTGAGTAAATTTTAATTTCAGAAAACAGAAAACAAAAAGAGAATATAAAAAGCAACATGAAATAATATGTCATGTTGCAATAATATTGATATTTACAAAACTGTCTGACCTTATTCATGAAACCGGGTTTCCAATACTGGGTTCCATCACGATACTCTGTCTTAGGTTTCCAATACTGGGTTCCATCACGATACTCTGTCTTAGGTTTCCAATACTGGGTTCCATCACGATACTCTGTCTTAGGTTTCCAATACTGGGTTCCATCACGATACTCTGTCTTAGGTTTCCAATACTGGGTTCCATCACGATACTCTGTCTTAGGTTTCCAATACTGGGTTCCATCACGATACTCTGTCTTAGGTTTCCAATACTGGGTTCCATCACGATACTCTGTCTTAGGTTTCCAATACTGGGTTCCATCACGATACTCTGTCTTAGGTTTCCAATACTAGGTTCCATCGCGATACTCTGTCTTAGGTTTCCATTACTGGGTTCCATCACGATACTCTGTCTTAGGTTTCCAATACTGGCTTCCATCACGATACTCTGTCCTAGGTTTCCAATACTGGGTTCCATCATGATACTCTGTCTTAGGTTTCCAATACTGGATTCCATCACGATACTCTGTCCTAGGTTTCGGACTCAGAATAGAAATGTCCTTTTTGGCAGTGTTTGGATTGGGAATAATCCGGAATTCATATTTTCTAGATCTTTAAAGAAATATCCTGGGAATAGGAATAAAGGGAAGGGAAATGGCGCTGGTCTGGCATGAGAAAGCCAGTCGCACTGCTTTGCAGACGAGTTCAGTATTCCTTACACACACTCTTTTGGTACAGACACACAACATGACTACAGTTAAGAAAATTGCAGAACAATGTCGTCAATTATAATTAAACTTGAATAACGACTAGTTTATTGTAAACTTTAACCAAATTATATTCTTTGCATGAAAATTTGGCTTATAGTGTTGACTTAAATGTATAAATAATATATTACATGTATATTAAACTTATTTTTAAGTAAACAATTAGTAATAAACAAATGTACCCTCCTAGACTGTACAAATACCTAGATTCGTATGTACTGTATATACCTACAGTACACACCTTCGGTACAGACACACACTCTTTTGGTACAGACACACACACATGACATTCAAAGGCTAAAGAATATTTTTAATAATTAAAGGGACTGTAAGCGTAATTTTATACAACCCTCTTATTAAAGATGTGCATGTCCGATTTACAACAACAGTGCCCTTTATGCGTTTATCTAATGTGCAAAATATCGTAGGTTTTCTAGATTCAAGATAATAAATTTTCAAAGTAAAGCTGATGTATATCTTATTGATCTGGATCAGACAAAGCTTTTAAGGGTACAGTTGGGAATCGGAAATGTTTTTCTATAAATGTAGAGTAACTTGAAATTAAGTCTACAGTCTCATAAACTATTTAAGTATGTATTAAGAAAGGTTCTATTTTTAAGCTTGGATACAATCCAACTAAAAATAAATTCTAAAAATAAATCTGCCATAAATCTTTAAAGATTATACTGCTGAAGTGCTCAGCGTTTCCCTTGGTATTTCAAATACACTTTGGAACGAATTAAGATTTGGAAATATCGAAGTTTGAAAAAAAAAATATTTTATTTAGACCAAAGTACTAAGAGGTTTCCTCAAATAATTTCAGCCAATAAGGTCCATCTTTTTGGCTAATATATAAATATAAAAATATATATATATATATACATATTTATAAATACTTGGGACATAAAATGTCGTCATCCAACTATGAGTTTGG